TTCCCTTATTGTCTCTTAAAAGAAGCATATTTGGCCATAATTTACAAGGTTAGTTGGGCCTTTAATCTACTTTCTTTCTAGAATACATTCATTAATTTTAATAAAATTGTCTCTCCAGAGAGAGACAGACGGATAGAGCATCTGTAAGGGAGTTCTTAAAGCTTATTTATTTGCTGGAGTAAACTGTTTTGTATTTATTCCAGAATGATCGCTATTAGACAGTTGGGTTTTCCTGGTAGTTCTTTAGCCTGGTAGTGATCTGAGAAAAGGTTCGTAAAGAGCGGCTTGGATTATTGACATTGCAGTTCCCACCCACATTGTTTCCTCTTCTTTCTTTTACTCTTTGAAACTATTCCCTCTCATGTCAGAAATCTGTTTGCAGTCCTAGGAGTGGTAGGGGACTAAAGGGCCACTGTAGAAGATACCCTAGGAAAACATGTCCGTTGGTTTGGAAGGAAGTGTTCAGCAGCTCTGGCTACAATCCAGGAGCTTAGTAGGTCTTCAGCTTCCCAGCTTGAATTTAATTTCTGTGCACTCGCTTTCTTCCTCTTCAGTAGAGGCATGAGTGTATTGCTTCAAAGCTGAGTGGCAGAGGGGTAATAGGGGGATGGTGTGCGTTTTTATCCTAGACTTTCCTGTGTACTAGTTCACTGTAAGCATCTGATGAACAACTGGTGTGTGGTTATTCTGTAGAACCATTCTACTTACTTACTTCACACCTGCACTGAAAGAGTGCTTATTAATGTTTCATACTCTGAGAAATGTGAAACACTCCCCACCCCCACCCTATGAAGGCGTGTCTCCTGAAGTGGACACAGGTGAGGATGTTTTGCTAAAGTAGGCCCGTAAAAGGATGAGGGATAAAGGATTCTCAGTGAAGGATTCAGTAACCACACATGGATTGGTTTGCCTTACATTGCTTACCTGAGCTCCGTTTATCATGACTCCATAGAGAGAAACACACCAGAAAGCTGCTGGCGGTGCTCTAGTGGCTTCTTGTGGCTTCCGCAGATGGGCCGATTGGCAGAGTGATTGCAGCTGATACAGACTCATGTAGAGTTTTGCTAAGACAGACTCACGTGCTAAGGCAAGATAAGTGGCCAGGCAAGACCCAGGGAGGACACGATGTTTGGAGGGAGTATAAGTGAGACTCCATGGACTGTGACAGGGGCCTGCTGCCATAGCTAGGTTTAAAGTCTTTGCTGATCTTCACTTCATTGAGAGAGGCACAGCAAAGAACTTCTGGTCGCTCGCACTGACTCGTGCCAATTCTGCTGAGACCTGGCTGTATCTGCTGGGTCGTGCCACCACTGTTGATTCATTTTTTCTATCCCGACACTACTGAACTGGACTGCTGGTATATTCTTGAAGTGTTTGCTAGTGGATTGAGCTGCTGCTGCTGACTCCTGTGAACTGAGCTGCTGGTTTCCTGACAAAGCAGATGGGGTTTGCTCCAAGGAAAAATTTCTAAACAGATCAACTTCCACTGTATCCTAATAACCTTTCTTTCCCACTACCTCTGGTGGGCAGTGGCTGGAGGAGAGCGTAAGGCATTTAAGAATGGTTATTAAAATTAGGGTTGAGAAAAAGTTAAGCTTACAACCCACTTTGCTATTTTTTAAACTAATAAAAGTAACTTGTACTTGTTCACTGACCTAATGCCTGGAGGTGGAGTGCTGGGTAAAGGGTGTGTCTTTGTAAGACTTCTGACGCTACTGTCCAACGACTACTTTCCAGGAACCTTTGGTACTCTTGTATGTTTAGTCGTAGCATCCTGAGCTGCAAGTGACCTGTCTCTAGTGCTTCAGTCAGCACGTTGGTTGCTGTTCAGTGTAAGTGGATACAAAGTGATTTTTATTTTACAACTTTGATTTTTGTAATATCAAGGCTGATTTTTTTTCTCTGTAGTTTGTTTTGTTAGTTTAGATTTTAATTGTATGTGCCTGAGTATTTTGCCTGCATGTATGGATGAGCACCGTGTGTGTCTGCTGCCCAGGGAGGTCAGAAGAGGGGTCTGAAACTGGAGTTACAGACTGTTGAGCAAGGATGTTCAGGCTGCGAACTGAATCCAGGTTCTCTGCAAGACCAGCAAGTGTTCCTAACCACTAGACCATCTCTTCAACCCCATGAATTTAGATTTTTGGGGGAGGGGGTAAAGCTATGCACCAATGTAATGGTGCAGCAGTGTAGAATACCTGCCTTGGATACAGTTGGCTGACTCTTCAGTTGGAATAACCATTCAGAGTCAACTTGACTGATTTGTTCTGTTTCCTTCCATGTGCTAGGGAGCATGCCATAACAGTGCTTCCTACTCCTTCAGTTTGAGAGGATTTTGTTTCTGCTGGGGTGAGTGAGGGTTTGGTTCACGATCAGGCGCTCACCTCTGCACACACAGCCCTTCAGCAGTCCCTATATTTAACTCCACTCCTATCTCCCTAATACATCACTGTCTTCAGTGTGCACTAGTCAGTTCTCCTATCACTGTGAGAAAAATGCCCCTGATAAACAACTTCAGTCTGTTTTGTATCTCAGTCTCTGCTTGGCTGCGTGTTGCAAGGTAGAACCTCATGGTTGATGTTGGAGCAGAGAGAGAAAAGCAGGCCTAGGGACCTGTTAATTCATCAGGGGATTAATCCTTGGGTGAGGTTAATGTCCTCATTATCCATTCACCTCATTGTATGCTCAGCTAGGGACCAAGCTCTCAGCACGTCTCTGATGGACAAATCATAGCCAAACCATGATGGGAGGGGTTTCAAAAGTCCCTAAATTGTCATGGAAATGGGGTTTGAGGGCAAAGTAGATATGTGTGTTCCATCTGCACCCTTTTGTGTGTTTTGAGTCATTTTTATGAGGCATGGTTAAAGAGGAGGGCTCTCCAGTCAGGACTGTCTGTCTTGATCTTGAGCTTTACTTTTCACTAGCTTTGTCATTGAGCTATCTGTCTGACATTGCTAAACCTCATGTATCATGGTTATGATTGGTGCAGGGTTAAGAATGGCACTATGGCACTTGTCCGGCAGTGCTGTGCGCATTTGTGGCAAGGCCTGTTAGAGAACTCAGCGTAGCACGCTTTGCTGTCTGCCAACACTCAGCACACTGGAGCTGCTGTGTTAATTTTGCTCTTGTGAGTTTCTTGTTCCTAATGTTTGCCCATGCCCTGGCTTTTTATTTGGACAGTGTTGCCTTTTGGTAATGCCTTTTCCACAGTCTCTGATTTGGATTTGACATTTATTTTTATTATGAACCTTGGAATCTATTTCTCTCCCCTCCAACCGTCCATCCATCCATCCATCCATCCATCCACCCATCTGTCATCTGTCCACCTACCTATCTGTTCCTGTGAACACAGATCAAAGCCAGCATGTGGAGAAAAAATATTTATTTGGCTTATATTTTCATGTCACAGTTCATCAGTGAGGGAGGTGAGGGCAGGAATTGAAGCAGAGACCAGGGAGGAGTGCTGCTTACTGACTTTCTCTCTGTAGCTAGTTCAGCTTTCGTTCTTATACAACCCAGGACCGCCTGTCTAGGGGTAGCACTGCCCACAGTGGACTGGTCCCTCCAGTATCAATCATTAGTTAAGAAATTGCTGCAGAGATATGTGAACTGATCAGATGGAGACTTTTCTCAATTGAGATTTCCTCTTTAGGTTATCTGTAGTTCATGCCAAATTGACAAGACAACAACAACAACAACAACAAAAACCACCTAATTGGCATACTCCCCAACTTATTTTGGGTCAGAATGTTTTATCACAGTGATAGAGAGCAAACTAGGACAACTCATACATATCTTATTTTTAAGCAAACATAAAATAATGTTCCCTGTGGTCCTTTCAACATCCTTAGTGTTATTTATCCTTTCTTCCTCTCTCTCTCCCTTCATTGTCCAGCTTCCCTCTTCCCAGTTAAATCCTTAGGTATCTGAAAACCTAAGCACTTAGCATTTCAGTTTCTACTTCCTATTCTATCAAATTTTTAATTCAAAGTATAACTGCGAGGCCTTTCTATGCCTGGCCCAGCTCCTCAGTTAATAACATGGAGACCTTTTAGTAATTCTGAAAGCCTAGGCTTTATAACTCAGGCTTGTTTTGAACTTATTCTTAATTTAAATTAACCTTTTTATACAAATCTACTTTCTGCCACGTGGTTCGTTACCTCGCCTCAGTCCCAGCACCTGATTCTTTCTGTGTCTTGCTAGCTAATTTTCTCGCCTCTGATTCTCTCCCAAAGTTCCTATCTGTGCTGGATGCCCCGCCTATCCTTTGCCTAACTATTGGCCATTCAACTCTTTATTAAACCAATCAGAAGGTGCCTTAGGCAGGTGAGCAAGCGAAACATCTTCACACAGTGTACAAAAAGATTTTCCCAACATAAAGTTGATCCTTGAGTGCTGTATCCATTACTTTCCATGTCACTGTGACCAAATATTCTATGTAACAGACACAGCCAAGGAAAGACATGGTTATTTTGGCTTATGGTTTCAGAGGAATGGCTGGGAAGGCAGGGCGATAGGAACTGTTGCAGAGTCCTCTCAAATGATGCTAAACCAGCAAGCAGAGAGAAGTGCCAGGCTGGGCTCTATAATCAAGGCCTTCCTCCGTCCCCTAGACCCCCACCTGCCCGTCAAGGTTCTATGTCCCAAGGGTTCTACAGTCTCCCAAAACAGCACAACCAGCTCAAGACCAGATGCTTAAACATGAAGCACACCTTGGGAGGTGTGTGTATGTGAGGTGGGGGGGGCACATCTCACGGAAATTAAGACCACAACAAGGGCTTAGATTTGTGACGCCCATGCTGTATTAATGAATTTACATTCTTTGACTTTATGCATAGTATTGACATGATGAATAGGTCAGTATTCTAAAGCTGCACCTAAATCATCATTTTGATTTTATTACTTTTTCGTTGGAGGCCATATTGCTTTTATGTTCTATTAGTTTTATGATTAACTTTATTATTCTCAGGATAACAGCCCATCTAAATTTGATCTCTCCACAGATACGGACCAGGATGTAGCACTCAAACTTGCTCAGGAACGAGCTGAAATAGTTGCTAAATATGACAGAGTGAGTATCTATATTTACTCTTTTAAGTGTGTGTATTAAAACATTCATATAAATAGAAAGGGGCTTGCTTTTTGGAGAGCTGAAATCACAGGAAGTTTGTTCTGTGTGTGAGAACACAGAGTTCAACTTTTTCCCTCTGAGTATCCTCCCTCCCTCCCTCCCTCCCCCCCTCCCTGCCCTCCCTCCCTCCCTCCCTCCCTTCCTCCCTCCCTCCTTCCTTTTTGCTCCCCACACCCCACTTTGCTGCTTTTTACCATGTGGGTCCACTCCCACTTCTGTGTCTGTGCACTGGCTGTTTCCTTCCGGCAGTTCTTACTTGTGTCTTGGATTTTCCAAGACCTCATTGCCCACCTCTTTGACATGGTTCCTCAGATGCTCCTTTCTGAATGTGACCTGCAGCTGCTCTCTTTCTCGTGTTACCCAGTGACACTCTTTTATCATCATCCAAATACCAGTTGCTTCAGTGTTTTGATATATGGTGCTTGTTATCTACTCTTCTAGAATAGAAACTCTTTGGGTTATGAAATTTTGTTTCATTTATTCCTCTAAATACCTGGAACAATCTTTGACTCATAGCAGCTACTTAAAAAATACTTTTGTATGTAAATATACAGAACTAAATAATCTTATATGAATACTTTATTTGTGGTCTGTGAATGTTTCATATAAATTCAGTTTTAACTAACATTTTACCCATAAGTCATAATGAGATTTACTTTCAATTTTCTAATATTTTGTTCTTTGAGACTCTCATACACGCATACCATGTATTCATACATGCATACCATGTATTCATACATGCATACCATGTATTCATACATGCATACCATGTATTCATACATGCACACCATGTATTCATATACGCAAACCATATATTCATACACGCACACCATATATTCATACACGCACACCATATATTCATACACGCATACCATGTATTCATACACACACACCATGTATTCATATACGCACACCATATATTCATACACGCACACCATGATTCATAACGCATACCATTATTCATACACGCATACCGTGTACTTTGATCATATTCACTCCTGTTCCTCCCAGCTCCTCCAGAGCCACTCTGCACCTCTTTTTGCTGCTCTCAACTAGCTTCCCTCCCACC